GGACATTTGGACAATTTCATTGTGCCTGTGAAGAAGCTAAGGTCCAGAGAAGAAAAGGGGCTTTTCTAAGAACCCACAGGTGGTAGATTGCAGAGCCAGAAGTTGGGCTTTGCCATTGCTGTCTCCGTGCAATGGGAATAATATTTGTCTCAGGGTGTCTGGAGGAGACAAGAACCTAGGGAAAGTACTTTGGAAAGTATTCATGCTTAGTCCTGGAAGGGATGGTCTGTGGAAGAGATTGGCTGTAAGCCTCCCTGGTGGGTTCATTTTTGTGAGGGGCCTTTCCTCTACCCTTGGCCACTTCAGCAGTTCCACAGCCAGGACTGTAGCTGGCTGAGGTTCCACACCTCTCTCCCCAACCAAGCTGAGGAGAGGCACAGGCAGACACAAGCCCCTGACATTTTCCTTGAGATGGTGACAGCTGGTAAGACTTTTGACTAAAGGAATAAAGAGCAAGCGGGCGAAAAAAAGTTACTGTGTTAAAAGTGGTTTAAAAATGTTGTGCACCATCTGTTTGGCCACCATGGATTTTTGGGGCATGTGTAGGGGGAGAGACCTCTCCCCTCCCACTCCTGAGCTTCACTTCGATAAGGACCGACTAGGAGAAGTTTGAGCATGTCTGCAGGCTTTGTTTTCCATGTTCCTCAAACGTTCTTTCTGCTCCCTTCCCTTAGCTTCCAAAAATGCGTGCTCTCATTCTGCTTCCTGAAAAGATAATTTCTTAATTGCTAATAAAATAGAGAGACTGCAAAGCTTGGCACATATGGATCAACAGGCAGGTGTTTGATTTTGGCCTTTGCTGTCTGAGCTTGGTTCTACTGGAAGGGAAATAGAACCTAAAAAACAGGTATTGAAAGACACATTTTGAATGTTCTCACTCACATGTGGGAGCTACAAATTAAAACAATTGAACTCATGGAGATGGAGTAGAATGATGGTTACGAGAGGCTGGCCTGGGAAGTGGGGAGCAGGGGAAAAAGTGGGGATGATTAATGGCTGCAAACATATAGTTAGATAGAAGGAATTGGTGCTAGTATTTGATAGCACAACAGGCTGACTATAGTCAACAATAATTTATTGTGTATTTAGAAATATCTAAAAGAGTAGTATTGGAATGTTCCTAACACAAATAACTGATAGATACTTGAGGTGATGAACACCCCAATTACCCTGAAGTGATCATTACCACATTGCATGACTACATTAAAACATTACATGTACCCCATAAATATATACATCTACTATGTAACCATAGCAATTAAAATTTTTTAAAAGAAAATACCATTTGAAGCAAAATAATAAGAAAAACTAAAAACCAAAAAAAGCAAACAAAACCAGGTATTTAAGCTCTGCTCCACCTAGTAATACCACAATCAGGTTTCCCTTCACATCCTAACTCTTTAGACCGCTTCTGCTGACATTTTTTATGAAATTTGTCTGAGATGTTTTTCAGGTTTTTTTTTCCTTTTGTGAATAGGGTTATAAAAATATATATTCTACATCGTTATTGCTGTAGTACACGAAAATTATTAATTTTGTGTGTTGATTTTATGTCTGATCGACTTAACTCATATTTGATTCCATTTGCTTCTTGTGGAATTTTCTGATAGATGGTTATATTGACTGCAAATACTAACAGTTTGTCTCTCTATTCAGAGTTACATTTCTTATTTTCTTCTCTTGTCTTTATGGGTAAGCTCACAGGGCAATATTGAAAAGTAGTAGTGATTAGAGACATCTTTGCCTGGTTTCTGATTTTAAAGGAATTGTTTCTGATATTAACTATGATATACACTCTGGGTCTATGGTATAAAAACATTACAAATAGAATTTGTTAGTTTTAGTCAGAAATGGGTGTTAAATCATATTAAATGTTAGCATCAGTTGAGATTATCTGTTGAGATGATTTTACTCTAGTGAGGAACATTACTTGCTTTCTAATGTTGGACTATTCTTACATTTTTTGCTCCTAATATCTTACTAGTTTTTACTTTCTAATACTTTAGATAGAATTTTTCTATCTTTGCTCATAAGTAGTATTGACTTACTTCTTTCATCTATGTTTCCTTACCCACTTTTGGTATTAGGTTATGGTAGCCACATGGAATGAGTTAGAGTCATTTTTATCTTTTTCCATGCCTTTCATAGTATACCACATGGGATTATGGATCTTTTGAATGTTTGCTAGAACTTGACCATAAACTTTCTCATTTTGGTGCATTTTATTGGAAGTAGGTCTTAAATTACTATTTCAATTTTTTATGATTATTGGTCTTCTATTATTTTCTTCTTGAACCAATTTTTGTGATTTATTGTTTCTAAGGAAATTATTCATTCATTTAGATTTTGAAATGTTTTGGTCTAAAGTCTCATTAATTGAAAATGTGCTTTGTATATTATGTCTCTTTTCTCAGTCTTAATGTTGTTTAAATATCACCATTAGTCCCTCTCTTCCCACTTTCAGTCTTGTCACAGGCTGTGCTAATTTATTGATATTTTCAAAGAAACAGCTTTTAGTTTTATTGGTCTATATTATTGATTTTTTGTGTTCTAGTTAATTAGTTTTTGCTTTTTATCTTTATTAATATCTTCCTCTAATTTCATTGAGTTTATTTTGCTTTTCTTCTTCTAACTTCTTGAATTAAAGAGCTTATTGACTTTGCTTTTACTTTTTTCCTTGTTTCTAATAACTTTATTTGAGACTATACATTTTCATGAGTTAGGTATCTATCTCAGGTTTTTGATATATGGCCTCTTCTTGTATTCATTTCTTTTTTTTTTTTTTTGGGACGGAGTTTCGCTCTTGTTACCCAGGCTGGAGTGCAATGGGGCGATCTCGGCTCACCGCAACCTCCGCCTCCTGGGTTCAGGCAATTCTCCTGCCTCAGCCTCCTGAGTAGCTGGGATTACAGGCACGCGCCACCATGCCCAGCTAATTTTTTGTATTTTTAGTAGAGACGGGGTTTCACCGTGTTGACCAGGATGGTCTCGATCTCTTGACCTCGTGATCCACCCGCCTCGGCCTCCCAAAGTGCTGGGATTACAGGCTTGAGCCACCGCGCCCGGCTCTTGTATTCATTTCTAAATAGTACATTTTTTTCTTTGCCAATGTAGAATTTTTTAAAAGTATTTAGCATGCTCAGGTGCACAGAATTGTTTAGCCATTTTTTTTTGTTGTTAATTTCTAGTTTTTTATTACATTTTGTCCCAGAAAGTAACCTGTCGGACTCCTTTCTAATGAAATTTGTTAAGGTTTCCTTTGTGAATAATTTTTTTTAAATGTTTCATGTATGACTGAAAATAATGAAGTCTCTTTTTCTTAACATCGATGTTCTCACTTTAAAATTATAATGTGTATGTTCTTCAGATCCTCTCTAACTGTCTCTGATCCACAGCTACTTGATCTGGTGATTTCTGAGAGCTGAATAGCAAGGTCTCTTACCATGATTGTAGAATAACACTTTCTCCTTGTATATTATTCAGTTTTTGCTTTCTGCATTGAAGCTAAGTTATTGGATGCATAAAAGTTTATGGCTGAGGTATCTTCTCTATTGATGTTATATTTTATCAACATGGATACTCCATCCCCCTACTTCCTTTCATTGTTCTTTGCCATGAGTTCTATTTTTTTGATATTATCACAACTTGGCTTTCTTTTTCTTAGAATTTGTACAACATAGCTATTTTCATTATTTTATTTTTCACCTCTCTGTCTCATTTTGCTTTAGGTGTATTTTACAAGCAGCATGTATCTGGATGTTAGTTTCTAAATCTAAGATTTTCCATTTGAATAACTTTTCATTTCATTTTTTCTTCTATAATGGTTTGAAATTATTCATCTTATTTTATATTGCTAACCCTAGATTGATGCATTGAAGCATTTTAAGAGACATATTAATATTTAGAGTCAATCATTTCCTAGATCCTAACATCAAAAAATATTGAAAACTTCTATTTCTTTCCTGCTCACTTTCTCCTAGAACTGTGAGGATATAAATTTCTGTTGTTTAAACTCCCCAGTCTGTGATATTTTGCTATGGTAGCCAAAGTTGATTAATCTGTTTTGTTTCTTGGAGAAATTTTCTCTTTTTCCTTGTAAATTTTTCTAAAAATGTTTGAGTGTGAGTCTTTTTATTTAACTTACTCAGCAGTTGATAGGCCCTTTCAATCTAAAGACTTCTATCTTTTTTTCAATCTAAAGACTTCCATCTTTTTTTCTCTCTCTACCTCTTATTTCTCCTCCTTCATTCCTCTTATTCCCATTTTCTGATTAAATGGATTTTTATACTGTTTGATTCATTCTCCATTTCTCTTTAGTTTTTTCTTAACTTCCATGTTTCCTTCTGTGTTCTGTTTCTGGGAAAAGTCCTTGGTTGAATCTTCCACTTTAGTAATTTTCTCTTAGTTTTTACCTATTTTGATATTTGGCTCATATGTTGATTTTTTTAAGTTTCAATACTCGAGTTTATAATTTCCAAGATATTCATCTGATAATTTTGTATGTGTGCCACATTCCCTTGCATGAGAATACTAATTAGACTTTTATAAAGTATTTTCCTATTGATTCTATTAATTCTTTCCATGGGCATTTAGTTCTTCAGTTTGTTCAATTTAGTTCTTCATGTCCAGTTTAGTTCTTCGGATGGTTAAATTTGGGGCTTTTCTTTCATGAGGTTGATTTTCTTCAGAACCCCAACCAAGCATCCCATCAATCATCCTTGGGTGCTCCTGCTGCCTTGGACGCTGGTGTTCCTCCATTTCTTGTAGCAGGTCTCTCCTTTGTGCTGTTGGGATGTGGTTTCCTTCTTCAGTCTTCTCCATCTGCCTTTCTCCTTTCAGCCATTCCTAACTTTTTCATCCACTGGGTACCCTTCTTTTTTTCCATACTGGTATGGATTATTATTATTATATGTTATATTCTTATTTACATGCTGTATTGGTTATATTGCATTTTATTTATATTATTATCATCAATGTTTATTATTGTTATTATTTCTTTTCTTCTAAGAGTTTAGGATAAGAAGGGGAATATGGAGATTTTGCCCTGGTTCACTGTTTTTATCCAACCTCCTCAACTTTGTATGTATTGAAGACTGATGTTTTAAACACAGTTCCAAAGATGAGGGTGAGTAGTTCGACTAGGAGTTACCAGGGTTAGGAGATCCAGGAGTTACCTGGGTCTGCCCTTTGAGTCTGGCCAACAGCTGCACTGCACTCACAGTCCATAGTTCCATTAGCGGCATTTTTCCACCGGGAATTCCCTTTGTGTTTATTTCCAATGTTAAGATGTTCTTATCCTGCCTCACCTCTGGTTGGAAAGCTTGTGAACTCAGATGGGTTTCCCATTTGCTGATCAGCCATGAATTATTAGTGCAGGAGAAGAGATGGACATAAAGAAATCAACCTGCTTCTTTGTGTCTGGCATGAGGGGATGTGGTAGGCATTGTGATATGCCACCTAGATCTACTTCTACATTTCCCCTTTCTCTCCTTTGAGGATTGCCTCTGATAAAAGAATGGCTTTGCCCCTGGTGGTCAGTAGCCGTCTTTCTCAGCCTTCTGCCCCAACTCAGGCAGTTCTGAAGGCTCACCTTACCTTCAGAACTCCCCATGCTTCCCTGACAATACATTGCAGTTCACTGTCTCCCTCTTCCCAATCTGCCTCCTCCCTTTCATTCCACTGGTGCTGACCCCAAGATCAACTCCCTAATGAACCCCATGCCTACTAAACTTCATCTCAGGGTCCACTTCCTGTGGATCCCAACCTATGATCAAGTATTTACTGAAAGTTACTACATGTAGCAGAGCAAAGCACCATTGTAGCTATATTTGGCTACAGAAACCCTTCAACCAGCCCTGGGAAATGGGGAAAGTATGGGGAGGCAACGGCCCCTTACACATGCATTTCGATTTGCCCACCCAAATCTCTCCTTCTGCAGCTTCCCCAGCTCAGAAAATGGTAATACATCTATTCAGTCAATCAAGACAGAAATCTTAGAGTCATTTCTGACCTCAAACTCTAACACCACGTTAATTAAATTCATCAGGGAATCTGCTCAGCTTTACCATCCAAAATCTTAAATCTGACCCTTTCTTACCACCTGGAATGCCAACCCCTGGGTCCCAGCCACCATCACCATCCCTAGCTTGGATTACAGCAATTGCCACTGAGAAAGGAAAAATAAAATCTTAGGACCCCCAACTCAGCATGTCAAGGGAAAAGTTAAGTCTGGATACCAAGTCATGCCAAAAACTTGCCTTTCCTTTTGTTCCTAAATAGATAGCTACTAGATAGAAGGCCACGTTCTGCCCAGGGGGCCTCCCTCACCCTGACAATGTAAATTAACGGCTTATCTTTATGGTTCAGGACAAGAGGAGACTAGAAATTGTACCCTTCCCTTCCACCACCTACCCCGAGATGAATTTATATTCGCCTTCTTTCTGTACTCTGTATTTACTGTATCTTATGTAAAGTGCAGATTTACTGAGCGCGAGACGAATACATAATTGACTGTTCCTCTGCCCCCTCCTTTTCATATACAACATGTGGATTCAGTAAATGCTAATCAAAGCCTCATAAAAATGTAACAATATCCTCCCTCTATTTTTTTCTCTCCTTTCCCTGCTTGCCCATCTTTTCCCTGTTAAATATTGAAGACCTTAAAATCCTCCTTGGAAAAAGTATGAGCCACAGATCCTATTGTGGCTCGTGTCTCTTTATCCCAGGCATGCCCTCAATTTGGGTAAAATCAGCCTTTAAATTGATTGACATCACTTTTTTTTTTTTTTTTTTTTTTTTTTTTTTTTTTTTTTTTTTTTTTTTTTTTTTGGTTTATACCACCTAATCAAGCTCTCAGCTTCCAAACTCTTAGCTCCTACAATCAATTCGCAACACAGCAGTCAAAAGGATCTTTTAAAACCAAAGTCCATTCATGTGTCTCCTTGGCTCAAAGTTCTCCAATATTTTCCATCTCATTTTAATCAAAACTCCTAGCCCTTCTATGGCCCCCAAGGCTCTTTATGACCTGGCCCTCCCCTGCCGTCCTGCTGACCTTTCTTCCACTACTTCCACCTTGCTCACGCCAGTCCATGCCAAGCTTGTTCCTGACCTACTTGAAGTTCTCCCTGCTGAAAATGGCCGGATAGCTTCATGGCTCCTTCCCTCACTTCCTTCAACTTCCATTTCAAATGTCCTCTTATCTTCCTTCACCACCCAGTTAATGACGCTAACCTCCTCTCCCTACAATCCTAACTTTGGCACTAAACCATGTTTATTTTTTCCCATAGCACTTATCACCATGCAATAGATTTCCTTGTTTATTTAGTCTGTTTCTACCCCAAGCAGAATGGAAACTTTATGAGAAGTGCTTTGTTCACTTCTATATTCTTAACATCCAGAAGACTGCTCAGCACAGAGTGGATGTTCAATAAATGTTTGTCAAATAAATGAAATTTTAATTCCCTGACCGTTCCCATCTCAGATGGGAAAATTGCTTAAGCACAGATAATATTCCTCCTTCTGCCTCTTACTTGTCTAATGACCTTCCATGAGCCCCTTTACCCTATCAGTCTATCAGGAAGCTGAGGGGCTGAGACAAGTGGTCACTCAGTATCTCTTCTCGGTCTGATCTTTTGCTGAAATTGTGATTTGTTGAATGCAAACAACCTGGTGTGACATTACTGCCACTGTGTTTCTATTGCTTAAGTGAATTCCAAATGAAGCCCAGCTCCAGCTTCCCTAGCATTCCTCCCCTGTGTCATCCCACCTGCAGGGAGTGGCCCCAAGTGCTTGACTTTCTTTCCATTTTAACCTTCCCATGCCTTTTCTGTGTCCTGTGACTTGCTTTGGCCTCACATTGGGCAGATTGTATGTCATTGCCCTTTGCTCTGGTCAATGGGATATGAGCAGCTGTGAAGTCAGCAGCAGCTTGAAATAAACTTGGGTGGTGAGCTTGCCCTCTTGGCTTCTTCCATCACAATGAGAAACATGTCTTGGCTAGCCCAGTGGGTCTGAGAAGAACTGAGAGATACCTGGAGTACCTGGATCAAACTCAAGGCCAGAGCCAAACTCAGTCAAGCTCAGGCGAGATCAGCAGAGCTGCCCCAGCTAACCCATATATGTATGAGTGGGAATAACAATGCTATAAGCACTGAGTACTGGGGTGCTTTGTTATGTGGCATTATTATGGCAGGAGCTGACTAATACACCAGTCTTCCAAAACTCAGCTCAAGGTACATACTCTTCCAGAAAACATTCCCTTAGCCCAAGGGCATGGCCTAACAGTGAGAATTTCAGGTCTGTTTCAGGTTAGTGAGATCAACTGCTTGCAAGAACTGAGAGACTGCAACAGAAAGAGGGGAAAATGGGCAGCCAATATTGTGCAGTTGTGCCATTTGATGACTCTGCAAACAGGAAGAACAAGGATCGAGAGGATTTATGGTATGAGCTGGTAGAATGGAGCTGGGGCTGGCTTCTTTTCCATTTTTTTTTCACAAGGCTCCCCACCAGGACACAGGAGCTGCCCTTGGCCTGAAATGTGGTTCGACCTACGGCTTCTGGGTGTATCAGACTGGGGCAGCAGGGCACTGTTATTCTGACAGTGAACATTACACCTTTCAAATGGACATTGCAGAAATTTAGAATTGAGTCTCATCAAAATATCCTGATTTACATGTTAGGAAAGTCAAGGGAGAAGTTACTTTATCTTCCTTCTAACCCGATGGAAAGATTTTTAAGGAGACTTTACTGCAATCGTTGTTTCTATTGCTTAAGTGAATTCCAATTGCTACTGTAAATTCCATTCATTATTTAAATAGCTTTAGCTCCCTTAAGAACCTAAGTGCCTTACAGAGAGGAAGGAGCTTTCAAATCCATGCAGGGTGGGGAACTGCTCAGGGGGCTCAAATCCTGGGGCATAGGGAGAGGGACTGCAGTGTTCATGATGGGTCTGTAGGGAGGCAGATCCAGAGCCGGACTGAGTGATGGTAGGAGCTGGGAGAATTGCTAAGATCATCTGGGACTAGGATGCTTTCCTAACTTTCCTGATCCTAAGAATCCTCTGAATCATTTGTCAAAAATAGATCTGCAGACCCTTCCTCTGGAGATTCTATTTTAGCAGATCTGAAATGGAGCCCAAAATTTCATACTATCAAGAAAGACCACACTTGATTTTGACAAGTAGACATGTTTGGAAAATACTGATCTATCAAGCTGCCTTGTTTTATAGGTGAATAAATTGAGTCCCAAGGAGGGGTCTTTTCCCAGATCACAGAGCCCCAGTTAGTGCTAGAGCTAAATCCAGGACAAGATCACTGAGACCTGAATGGCAGGTTTAGGATGCCCAATTTGCAGCTGTGCTGCTGGGACTGGAACTGGTAGTGTCGTCTGCAGGTCCCTCAAAACATTTGTTTAGCTGCTGATTTTCTGTAAGAACAGCTGAAGGCGGTGCTCCTGGAGTCAGACAGACCAGGTTCAAATGCTGACTTTACTTTTGATTCACTGAACAACCTTGTGCAAATGGCTTAATTTTTCTGAGACATTAATATGGCTATTAAATCAGATAATGTACCTGCCCCTAGTAGGTGCTCAATAAATGATTATTGCTTATGAAGCGCTAGACCCCCTTCCAAGTCAAAGAACTGGCCAGTATGAACCCATTTAATAAACAAAACAAGCCTATTATTAACCCCATTTTAAAATGAAGAAAATTGAAGAAAACTTGAGTGACTGGTTCAAATCACGCATAGCAAGTGAGAAGCAGAGGCGGATGTGAACTCATGTAGTCTGTAGCCCCCTTCTTTCCCTTGAGGGCAGGGTCTGGGTCCCACTTACCCCAGCATGGCCCCTGGTGCAGGCCTCTGCACACAAGTAGATATCAATAAGTGCCTGATGAATGAGATTGAGATTTAAAGACAGGATGAGAAATTCACTTCGAGTGTGGCTGAGGGTGGGGTATTAGCATGGGGCAGCCGGAGATGGCAGTAGGAGAACCTAGGTAGAGAAGCCTGTACCCAGGGAAGATGGGACAGAGCCTGCAGGAGCAATCCCTGGGAGTTAAAGACTGGTTTCAGGCCGAACAATTAGCATTGAAATGCGCAGAAGCCTGGAAGTTTTTTGCATTGTCGCCTGCAATAAGGAAAAATCCAGACTGAACTGGCTGCTTGGATCAGAAGTGATGTAACGAGCTGGCTTTGGCCTAGTTTTTGTAAAGCAGGCGGGCCCCTGGCTCTCCCACACCCTTTTTTCCAGAATTGGCAAGTGACAGCTACCGCCATCTAGTGGTCCGAGTGGCACTGCACAGTCATGGGGAAAAAAGGTTGGTCCGCACCACAGGGACTAGAGGATGCCCCTGGCTTCCGTCTCCCAGAAGATGAGAGCCCCCAATGGTGGTAGAGAGTTTATTCTGTTCAAGGCATGTTCTTACCTTTTACTTCATTAGATCTTCTCAACAATCCAGGAGGTCGTCAGGGGCCATTAACTCCATTTTACGGTGAGGCGACAAGTCCCTAAAGGAGAGGGGTCTTGTTCAAAGTTGTATTGTCAGTTATTAATGGATCCAGGACTGAAGCCCAAGCCTTCACAATACAATTTCTTAGCCCAGAAGTAATACAGAGAGGTTGTCGGGTCCTTTAAAGTCTCCTTGAACAGGGAATGGAAGATGATTAATCCTGGAGGTCTTGGTCACGTCTCTGCATGGAGGTGAGTCCCCTTCAGCTCAATGACTTGCAACTTTTCTCTGGAAAGAGAATCTTCACTTGGGATATCTCGGCTGATAATACTCACATGGGAGGTTTCAGAAGAAGATGAATACTGTCCCTCCAGCTCTTTACTATTGTCTGTAGTAAAGGCCTGGTCATGTGGCGGTCAAGGTAGTTTGATTTAAGCATCTGGGGATTGCATCTGTTTTGAGGCCCAATGAGGGGATGGTTGATGAGTGGAGGATGTCTTTGGATGAGATTAATATACGAATGGGGATCTCTATTGGGAGAATCATTCAGTTATCAACTTCAAGAAATCAAAGTTCTTCTGGCTTTAAGTCTGCTGTTGGGACTATATAAGAATCGAAGCCTAATTCTTCGTAGTCTGTATATTCATAGCTTCAGTATCATTGGTGATCCTCTTACAGTATACTCAGTTAAAGCTTATCTGGTCCAGATCCTTTGTATGAAAGATGGGAAAACTGAGTCTCTGAGAGGGGGAATGACTAGGCTGACATCACACTGTGGTTAAAGTCCTTCCTCTCCAGCCTGTCTTTTCTGTTCTATGTACTCTGGTATAATAGCTGGTGCTTGGAGCCTGCACTGTTTCAAACAGATATAACTGTTTTTGGCCCAGAGTGAAAATTGGTGATGATGAATGAGATTGAGATTTAAAGGCAGGACGAAAAATTCACTTTGAGTGTGGCTGAGGGTGGAGTATTCGCATGGGGTAGCTGGAGAGGGCAGTATCTCTAATATCTCCCAAATTATACCACAAAGGTATGCAAAGGAAAAGAGAAGCCCCTTGGTATATATGTTTGTTTTAGCATCCGTAATATCAGTAATTCACTTTTCAATGAAATCTTAGGGAGAATTTGAATATGCAAAAGAGATTAATGTGGTGAGAATTGAGGAAGCTGACATTTACTGTGCCCCTGGGGATCTCTGCAATGCCTGAGAGAAAGGGAGAGGGCATTTAAAAGTAAGACATTGCATAAGGAGCACTGGCTGTGGAGTCCTAACACCTGGGCTTTAGTCCCTGCTCGGCAAGAGCTTGCTCTGTGTGTGACCTTGGGAATCACTTCCTCATTCTGCTCTCTCATAGATTATTCATTCCTACAATAATCCTGATCTTCCTACTGCCTAGGGTTGATGAGAAGATCACATGGAGGGAATAGGGAAATGGGTGTGGAAGTGGTTTGTAGAAAGTCAAGTGCTACATTTATAAATGTTTTTTTTCTTTAACTAAATTGAGGTAAAAATTTATGTACAATAGAAATGCACAACTCTTAAATGTTTAATTTCATGAGTTTGGAAAATTGTAATCAGCTGTGAAGCCATTATCCAAAACAAGATACAAAGTATTGACATCCCTCCAGGAAGTTCCCTTGGACTCATTTGTAGCCAACCTTCCAAGCCTGCAGGCAACCACTATTCTGATTTCTATCACCTTTGCTTAGTTTTGTGTGTTCTAGAACTTGACATGAACAAACTCAACCAGTATGTACTATTACGTGCCTGGCTTCTGTTGCCCACTGTAATGTTTTTGAGATTCATCCAGGTTGTTTTTTCCTTTACTGCTGCTGAATAGTATTTTATTTTATGGACATACCACTATTTGTTTATCTATTTTACTGTTGCAAACAATTGAGTTATTTCCAGTTTTGATATTATGATTAAGACTGCAATTAGTATTCTCTTCCACATTTTAAGTGCACATATGAACCCATTTCTGTTGAAATAGGAGTGGAATGTTGCAGCATACAATACATGCATGTGTAACTTTAGTAGAAGCTGCTGAACAGATATCCAAATGGTTATACCATTTTAAATTCCCAACAGTGACACAGCAGAGTTCCAGACAGTGCATAGGTTCCACATTTTGTATTGTTAGAGTAGTCATTCTAGTGAGCATAGAACAGTATCTCATTGTAGTTAAAATTTGCACTGATGTTAAGTACCCTTTCTTATCAGCTGTATGTATGTCTTCCTCTGTGAAGTATCTTTTATTTGTCAAGTTAAAAAAATTAGCTTGTCATTTTATTATTGATTTGTAGGAATTCTTTATACATTATACACAAGTCATTTGTCAGATATGAATGTGGCAAAAACTTCTCTACTATTTTTTTTCCTATTCATTTTCTTAATGATGTCTTTTCATAAGCAGGGATTTAAAAAATTTAAGTTCAAGTTATCTATTGCTTTCATTATGCTTAGTGCTTTTTAATGTCCTAGGAAATCTTTGTCTAATCTAAGAATGCAAAAACTATTCTTTTGTGTTTTATTCTAGAAGCTTTATTGTTTTCACTTTTATGCTTAAGTCTATGATCTGTCTTAAATTATGCTTGTGTATGGAATGAAGATAGAGTTGAAATTCATTTATTTCCATATGGATAAACAATTGTTTCAGTACATTTTGTTAAAAACATTTTCTTTTCCCCAGTGAACTGATTTAATACCTTGGAAATTTTATTTTTCAATTAAAAGGTCTAAAATTTTTTTTTATTTTAAAAATATAAGACAGTAACATTGACTTTTGGAAGGATGTACGGTTCTATGACTTTGAATTCTGGTATAGGTTTGTGCAACCACTACCACAATCAGAATATAGAACAATTTGATCACCTCAAGAAACTCACTTATGCTATCTATGTGCCTCTCCTTTTGCTGACACCACACTATCTGGATTACTGAAGCTTTGTAGGAAATCTTACAATCAGGTAGTGTAAATGCTCCAACTTTGTAATTCTTTTTTCAAAATTGTTTTGACTATTTTAGCTCTTTTCCATGTCCATATATTTTTCAAAGTCAACTTGTCAATATTTAAAAAAAATCCTCCTGGGATTTTTATTGGAATGGTGTTTAATCTGTAGATCATTTTGGGAAGAACTGACATTTTAACTAGGTGAGTCTTGCAATCCATGAACATGGTATATCTCTCCATTTATTGAGGTCTTCTTTAACTTCTTTCATAAGCATTTTGTGTAGTTTTCAGCATACAGATTTTATATAAGTATTTCATTTTTTGGAGGGGTATTGTGAACGACATTGTTTTAAAATTTTGTTTTCCAATTATACGTTGCTAATATATAGCAATATGATTGATTATATGGGTTGCCTTGCAATCTTGCTAAACTCATGTATTAGTTTTAGAAGGTTTTATAGATTCCTTGGTACTTTCTGTATAGAAATCTATGTCATCTACAAATAGAAGGTTTTATTTCTTCTTTTCTAATCTGCATGCCTTTTGAATATTTTCTCTGCTTATTGCAAATAGATAGGCCTTCCTGTACAATATTAAAAAGAAGCAGTGAGAATTAATCCATGCCTTGCTCCCAATCTGATAAGAAAAACATTCACAATTTACTATTAAGTAGAATGTTGGCCATAGACTTTTTACATTTGTTCTTTATCAGATTGAGAATGTTTTCTTCTATCTCAAGTTTATGGAGAGTTTTCGTTATGAATTGTTGCTTTTTGTCAAATCCATTTTCTGGATTACATATGATGATGTATTTTGCCTTTTAAAATTTTACTATAGTAGATTACATTGATTGATTTTTAAATATTGAATTAGCCTTATTTACTGCTACAAATTCCAGTTGGTTGTGTGCGTGTTTTTTAAAATTTGGTTGCTATTATTTTGTTGAGAAATTTTGCTTTTATGTTTATACAGGATATTAGTCTGCAGTTTTTTGTTTGTTCCTATTTTTGTATGTTTTTGGTATACTGGCTTCATGAAATGAGTGGGTCTATGCTTCCTTCACTTCTATTTTCTGAAAGAAATTGTGTAGAATTAATGCTTTTTTCTTCTTTAAATATTTTGTAGAATTTTCCAGTAAAGGTATCTGGCCTGGAAATGACTTTTTTTGGGAAGGTTTTTAAAGATAGATTCAATTTCTTTAATATTTATAGGACTATTTAGGTAGTTCATTCATTTCATCTTGGATAAGTTTTCTTTTTTTGTGGTTTCCAAGAATTGTTCTATTTTATCTAAGTTTCTGAATTTATATGTATTATACTTGTAGTATTTCCTTATTATTTTTTAATGGCCACAGGATCCGTATCTCTTTCATTCCTGATATTAATAATTTGTATCTTCTCTCTTTTTGCTCTGTCAGTCTTGCTAGAAACATTTTAATTTCTTCAATTATTAAAAAAACACCTTTGGCTTGATTAAGTTTCTCTATAGTCTTTCTGCTTCAATCTCATTGATTCTGCATTACTTTTACTGCCTTCTTTCTCCTGCTTACTTTGGTTTTGTTTTACTCTTCTTTTTCTAGTTTCTTGTGGTAGAAACTGAGATGACTGATTTGAGATCTTTTTTTTTCTTTCTTTTTTAACCAATATAAGGATTTAATATTATACATTTTTCATCTAAACACTTAATTTTAGATGCAACTTGCAAATTTTGATAGACTGTATTTTTATTTTCATTCAGTTCATGTATTTTCTCATATTTCTTGAGACTTCTTTTTTGACCTATGAATTACTTAGAAGTGTGTTGCTTAATATGTTAGCATTTAGATATTTTCCTCTTCTTTTTCTCTTATTGGTTTCTAGTTTAATTCCATTATAGTTTGAGAACATAATTTGTATAATTTCAATTATTTTAAATTGGTTAAAGCTTGTTTTACGACTCAGGATCATGATCTATCTTGGCGAATATTTAATATGCACTTAAAAAAAAGTTATATGTTGCTTTTATTGGATGAGGGTATTCCATAAATGTCAGTAAGGTCTTACTTGTTGATGGTGTTTTTCAGTTTATTCCTATCTGAGAGTATGAGTTCCTTTTCCTACTTCTTGACCCAGAACTATAGAGTGTCTCCTAGAGCTCTCTATTCATATTAATGACCACGTCAAGGTATCAGGCCATGTCATGTTCTGGTCCTAGTAAAACAGAGGGGAAAAAAGAATTCACAACATTCAATGGTACTTCGAGTTCTGGTCTTACTTCCCTATCTACCTGTTAATATTTACTACACAGAGTCCTCAGAATGGTGCATATATTTAGTCCAGGTTTTAAAGTTGTTTTTTTCTTTGGGGAACTACCTCTTAGTACTCTCAGTTCATGAGATGTGAGGGGGGTGGACCTCAACCCTACTTCCGTGTGCTCTGATCTGACCAGTTAATGTATTCTATCTCAGGGCTGCAATGATTGGTTGAGGAATGAGCATGTGATTTACATTGTACAGGGTTATTTCTGAGACTTTTGTGGAAACTAGTAGGAAACAGAATTTCTCTTCACTGGGGTTATTTATCTACGGGAATGAAATCTTGTCACAGCTTGAGAAGAGGTTGCCTGAGAGTAAAAGAGCACATTGAGGAAAGTGAGCTAAGAAAGAGAAAGACAAACTCCTGATGAGCTTGCTTAAATACACAGATCCAGTAATTCCTGAAGCTAGTAGTCATCTTCCACATTCTAGACATTTCAGGTACATGAACAAAACAAAACAAAACAAAACAGTTACAACCCCTGCCACCAACTTCCTCTGCATTAGCCAGCATCACTTGATGTTTCTGCTACTTAATATTAAAAGAGTATTAATACATATCTACATATCTTAAGTTTCCTTTCATTCTCCTTAACTTCCTCTGTCAGATTCTAGGGACCCATTGCCCCCTTAAGCCTCAGGGCACCATCCCCTTCCTTGAGAGAGCAATTAGCTGATTTCATGGTTCTCCAAACAGAAATGGTTGTCCTTAGAGAATCTCAGCATGACAAGTGGGCAGAGAAGCTGGGTCTCAGTATGGAGCCAGAGAGCATGTTTGCAAGTCTGCATCTGCTGGCTACATTAATGTGCAAATCAGGCTGTGGGCCAGGGTTTATTTTTAATAATTAGAAGCCCATCTTACTTTAGAAATGTGCTGCAGCTTCCTGTGACGAAAGGGAAAAGATGGTTCATTCTTTCTTTCCCTCGCTCCATGGAATCTACATTTCTGGAAACTTGGAGATGATATGGCTTATTCATTCTTGGAACTCAATATTCAAAAAGGAGAAAATTGTGTGTAGAATAAAAGATGACTTTTAAAGATGGGAAAGGAAAACTCTCTATTTCTCTATCTATTTGGCAAATTCGCTAAAATTCCTCAGGATCCTAAACTAGGGGATAGATATCATTTTGGCACATAGATGAAGCAGGTGCCTGGCATGGTTGTCAAGAATATGGAATCTTTGAACTATGAGACAGTAAGCTTGTAGCCTAATATTATTCCAATGGAGAGAAAGAGGACCCTTAAGCTTGTAGCCTAATATTTTTCCAGTGGAGAGAAAGAGGACTCTTTTTGGAAAGGGTTCTGTCCAAGGTCAGGTGGGGAATTAACATAACAAGAAGAATTATACTTCAGCATGGGTTCCTTCTTCTGTGTTCCAAAGGCTCTCACCACAGCCCACACCATCCAGATCTCACTTATGGCTTTACTACATTCCCTGAAGTGCCTCTTTGCAGGGGTCCCAGGTGTGAATATAACGTGCCCACTTGGCTTGGCCATCCTCCACCTGTTTGTCACTCATCCAACTGTCAGTCCCCGTCCCCATGTTTTTTTTTTTTTTTTTTTTTTTTTTGGCGTAGTGAGTTTCACCAGGCAAAGTCTGAGGTGTGGAATGCAACCAGAAGCATGCTGCTTGCTGTGGGCAATGGAATGTGAGTGGAAGTCACAGGTCACTTCAGAATGGAGGCCTTCAGGTAAGCCTGCTTTACTGCTGTATCATCAACAAGGGCTGGTGCTGAAAAGGCCTTGAAAAGGGACAATCTGTCCTGCCCTCCAGGAGAGCTCATGGCCCAGTGAGGGAGGAAGACATGGAAGCAGTCATCATGTAGGGTGATTGGGGCTGGGCCAATGCTATGTCTCAGCAGGAGGGGGCAATGAAGGATGCAGTCAGCTCTGCTGGGGGCAGGGGTTAGAGATGCCTATACTAAAATGCAAATATCTTTAGTTGGGTCTTGAAGGACATGTTATGTTCTCCAGGTAGGCAAAGCATACATGGAAATTCCAGGTGAGAGAACTCTACTCTGGTTTTTTTTCTTGTGGTCTTTGTCTTACTCTGCTCTTTGTAATAGTGTCATGTATCTGCCTGGTCTCCTGCAGGCCATTTGCTGCTGTACGTAACAGCTGTGTGCCTCAGTTTCCTCATCTGTCAAGGAAGTATAATTATAATGCTTCCTCATTAGAGTTGTTTTCAGGATTAAATTGTTTAATATGTATGGATATATATGAAGCATATGAGATGATGTCTTACACATGGTAAGCAATCAGTAAATGTTACAGTACAATATATTTAATGGATGCTCAAAAATGTTTTCCTCATTAAAGGGCTCCTCAGCTTTAAGTGACTTCTGTCACCTAAAATAAAAACTATTTTGGCTGTTGGAAGTCTCTAGCAGCCTATTATCTACTCTCAAAAAGCATCCCTCCCCTGAATTAACTAATTCTCTGATCTGGATTGGTATCACTCAATGATTAGCAGGGATTAGAGGAGCACCTACTACTAAAAGTCAGGGAGACACAAGAAACGATAGGACTAAGAACTGACCCTCAGACTTAGGGCCAGCTGGGGAAACCCAATGTATGCTTGGGTCCAATAAAAAAGATACACCATAGGATGACCCTACCTTCCAGCTTATAGGTGCTTTGATATAAAGAGCATCATGGCCAGAAGGGTGTGGGAGGGGAATTATCTGACTGTGCAGAGATTCTCGTGGATTCTCAAATGGATTTTCCAGAAAGTGCTTCATACAAACACACATGGCAGGAGAAGATGTGGGATTGCAGAGCTGCAAAGATGGCATTGTGCAAGGCAAACCCCAAGTCTCTCCATGAATTCTTTGTCTTCCATTAATTCTTTGAGACATGGAAAGTAGATTTCTAGGTACCATGGGAAATTAGGCATACTGCTGAGGGTGGTCCAGAAATAACAGCATGCTTACTGGAGTGCTGGGAAGATTAGAGGTGACAGAGGCTCCAAGGAGGAGTGACAACTGAAGCACCACATCAGAGAATGCTGAACTGAAGTCAGGAGGAAGGCAGGCCTGAGAACATGGGCTCATGGGCTCCCTACTTTGGTGACCGTGAAAGACCCATTTACAGATTGGGATTTTGGCAGCAATGGAAATTTCAGATTTGTGTGTCATCTCTTTGACTCAATGTTTTTATATGTTGCTTCCTGTTTATTAACTTCGATTTCTTATAACTTTGTGATGAGACAGTTGGAAGGCATGCCTAGCTCTCATATTGCATACATTGCCAGAAGGGCTAGATGGAGCATGTATGGAAGAAAGAATATGCCAATAAAAGCATTAATCAATGAAACATCATCAGAAGAGTTCATGGAAGAATGCACTGGCAAAGAAGCTACACACAGACATCTACCCAGAGACTCTGAGGTTGAGTATAAGTAAAGTTTAAAAATGATGTAGAACTCAGAGGGAAAAGGAGTGTGGTGGAAGACTTCAAGGAAGAGGTGGTTCTTTACTGGGCCTTGAAGGATGGCTTGACTTTTGATATATGGAAGGAGAAGAAATGGTATTCTAAGATGAATGTGATGATTAATTTTTATGTGTCAACTCGACTGGGCCATGGGGTGCCCAGATATTTCAAGGAATAGTCAACTAATTAATGCCCCTACTACTAGCTTTGTATCCCCCAAATTCATTCTTCACACAGCAGCCAGATCAAAGTTCTTTAATGGCTTCTTGTTGCACTTATCTGAGTTGCTGTGTGATATGGTTCCTGCCTTCCTCTTGAACCTCATCTCATCAGCCCCCAGCTCACTGAGCCTTTTTTACTCTGCCTAAGACTCAACAAGCTCTTTCTTTTCAGGGTATTTGCCTGTGCATTTCCTCTGCCTAGTTGGTCTCATGGCTGGCTCCTTTCTAAACTTCAGGTCTCAGCCTAGATATCATCTGTTGAGAGAGGCCTCGCTGATGACTCTATCCAGCATTGCTCACCCTCCTCCCCATTATTTTCTGTCATTACTTGCTGTCATTACACTATTTATTTTAAACACTAATAACAATTTATAATTTAATGAATGAACAAATGAACTAACTAATTAACTAAGATATTTACTCTCTGTCTCACCCACTGGAAAGTAAACTCCACAAGAAGAGAGGCCTCTATTCATCATTGTATCACCAGTGTCTTAGTCTATTTTCTGTTGTTATAACTGAATATCTGAGACTGGGTCATTTATTAAAAAAAAAAAACAAATTTATTTCTTTCAATTTTGGAGGCTGGGAAGTTCAAAATCAACGGGTTGCATCTGGTGAGGGCCTTCTTGCTGGTGGAGACTCTGCAGAGTCCTGAGGTGGCACAGGGCATCACATGGATAGGAATTGCATGAGAGAGAACAAAACTGGCTTTTATAATAGACACACTCTTGTGATAACCAACCCACTCCTGTGATAACCCATCAATCAATTTTATTCATTAATCCTTGAGTGGATTAATCCATTTATGAAGGCATAGCCCTCATGACCCAATTACCTCTTAAAAGTTCCACCTCTTCATAATGTGACATTGGTGATTGGGTTTCAACATAAGTTTCAGAGGGGGCAAACGTGCAACATGGCAGCCACACATGGTAGATACCTCATAAGCATCACATAATTCATCATGAGAGGTACAGCAGTGCCCAAGGCAAGGTCTCTGTCCTCAGGAATCTCATGGTTGAGTAGCGAGAGGCCAGGAGTCATGGTTCAGTAGGCTTGCAACCCAGTCTAACCTAATTTAAGGGAAGGTTGGAAGAGCTTCCTGGAAAAGGGGATGCATGAGGCAGGCCTCAAAAGGACTGAGGGCTGTTAATTAGCCTGATAAATTAAGAGAAGGGTCTTTTAGAAAGTAGAAGTGCCATGCATAAAGGATCAGAGGGGTGAAAATAGGGTTAAGGCCAGTCTAGAATGACAGCAATGCAGGATATGAGTTGCAACAGTAAGAGATGGGGTGAAAATAGAGCAAGGGCCAGATCACCCAAGACCTGTCATGTCACTCTAAGAAGATTGCACTTGGCCTCGCATCAGTAGGTTGTCATTGACTGAGTTCAAGAGTTTTGTAGCAGAACAGACTTAAGGTAATTCCTTCTGGGTATCATGGTGAGGTGGAGGACCTTTGGTTAAAGGATCTTATATCTGTTCCTCATTGGCTGCATAGATTTCTCTTCTCCATGGCTCTCAACTCCATTACTGTCTAATAGACTGCAGAAGACTGTAGAAAGGGAATGAGAAGGAAGAATATTTACAGTAGAGAACTTTGGACATGGAAGTAATTCCTGGGATGAAGAGAGAGTAGCAGAGGGTGGAGTGGAAAAAGCACTGAAATAGGAGTCAAGAACCCTGGTTCTGTCACTAGTTACTGTATGGCCTCGGATAACTCATTTCATCTCCCTGGGCTTTGATTTCTCCATATGGAAAATGGGGCTTTGGGCTTAATCTGGTAATTCACCAAAAATGCCCAGCCTTACAGAATCATACTGGTGGTGTGATTTTAGGCACCATGATCTTGAAGTAGGATGTATTTTGTTTGTCTGACTTAAGCCATATTCTATAAATGGCTCCTATGCATCTCCTTTACTCCCCTTCTCAAGGGAACAGACCTAGTGTGTGTCTATGTATCAGTACTTTGATAGGCACTGGAGATGAAACAAAGACAGGCCCAGTTTCTCTATTTTCACGAAGCCTGTGGTTTAGCACTGGAAAACTTATTTTAAAAAAATCACACAAACAATGTAAAATTACAGCTGTGATTAGAACAACAGAAGTAGCACACAGCATGAAGAGAGTCATTCGAAAGGAAGTCAGAAAAGCCTGTGACAGTTCTGGAGGCTGGGAAGTCCAAAATCAAGGTGCTGCTTCTGGTGAGGGCCTTCTAGCTGGTGGGGACTCTCTGCAGAGTCCCAAGGTGGCATAGGGCATCACATGGCTAAGGAGTGCAAAACACAGAATGAAACTGGCTTTTATAATAGACCCTCTCTTATGATAACTCCTTGCAGTAGTGCCACTTGGGGGAGATCTGAAGGATGAGTCAGAGATAACTGGGCAGAGAGGGGAAGGTAGCAAGTGCCAGGCAGAGGGAACAGCATTATTCAGAGAGACAGGGCAAAGGCTGGTGTGGCTGGAGCAGGGAGAGGAGCCTGGCAAAGGATGAAGCTGGACAGGGGACTATTGAAAATACTGCATGGGCAGAGCCTAGGGAATCAAGTTAGTCAGACATTGGTCCTTTGGTTGCTGAATGGTGGGGGTTTCTGACGGTCCTGCAGGAGGAGGGAGGATGTGAGGGGACATTTGGTGTAGGTGTGCTTGAGATGAGGAAGTATTTTCAATATTCTAACAATCCTTATGGCTACATGGGTGTGTTCCATCTGACCATTAGTGACTGGAACAAAGAGTTGGACAGAGACCCAACCAACCATGAGGACCTAGAGAACATAGAGTTTTGCCCATATCCTGACAATATCGGGGAGCCACTGCTGGGGCCAAGGAGGTTGGTGAGAGGACCACAACTGGATTTTACAGAACTGAAATTAAGGTCAGGAGAGCAAGGTTCTAACTTCAGCCTCAGAACTGAATTGGGGGCCAAAAATCAGTATTTAAGATAGACAGTATGTTTCTGCAATATTTTAGAAAATTTCAAAGTAATGCAAAAAAAATTCAATTGTGGCAAAATACCAACATTTTCAATAAAGACAGCA